AAAGTATTTACAGGAAAAGAAAAAAAAAATACATAAGTTTCTTTGGTACTATGTGAGGTATATCCTTTCTCTTCTGAGTTCTTTAGAATCTGCTAAATGCTTCTTAAATAAAAGTAAATTCCTACCCAGTGTTTGCCCTAATCTGTAGCATGGGCAAACAGAACAGAAATGAAATAAAAAAATCTGAAAAACTTCTGTATTAATGCTTACTTCGTGCAGTCATCATTAGTGCTCTGCCATTTACAATTGAGTAAATCTGCAAAATAAATAGTGGGTTTTTTTTGGTTTTTTTTGTTTTTTTTTTTTAAAAAAGAACTTCTCGGGCAAAATCGTGACGTCTTTAATAGTGGCTTACCCATGCTCTGCAGAAATTACTGGCTATGTAGAGCTATCCGATACTGGCAACTGAGGCTCACTTAGTAAAAAAAAATCTAAGTGCTAGATCAATGCGAGATAATTTAATCTCCCAAAAATGCATTTTTCAAGGCCCTATCAAACAAACCCCCCATATTCATGCAAGTAGAAATACTGGCAACTGAAGCTCACCTAGTAAAAAAAAGTCTAAGTGCTTTAATAATAGATCAATGCGAGCTAATTTAATCTCCCAAAAATGCGTTTTTCAAGGCCCTATCATACAAACCCCCCATATTCATGCAAGTAGAATTCAAGGCACCAGTTTTACAGCTACGGTTTCCAGGGAAGCACAAAGAGTTTGGTACGCTCTGTCCTGGCTCACTGTCTTTTTTCCAAAATGTGAATGCATATGAAAAAAAATGGGTGAAACAGACCTTGTTTTGTCCCTACAGAACAAACAGTACAGTAACAAAAGAGCAACCTTCCTTCATGCTTCTCCTGCCTCTAGATGTATGAAATCCACTCTCTGCTTAGTCTTTTACTTCTCTTTTGAAGCTCTAAAACTGCACCTGGAAAATTATTAAGAACTGGATGAAAACATCTAAATTGCATTTTCATTAATCACAGGACAAGTATAATGCAGACACCTTTCAGAGACAGAGAGGGCTTCACCTGAGTCGGCTTTGCAGTTCCCTGTACCTTGAGATCAGTAATTTTCAGCCACAAATGAGAAGACGTTTCAATCCAACACCGACATCTACGCCGTGGAGATGGAGGGGTCGCCCACGGCCGCGCGCTGTCACTCGCTGGTCCCTGCCGGCTGCCTGGCTTCCCCGTCGCTCCCGGGCAGGAGTCATTCCAGCTCAGGCTGGCAGGAGCCTCAGGGCGCTGCACGTCACAGCAGATCCCCTACGGTCCCTCACGCTGGGAGGCAGGAAGGTCCACTCAGGAAGCGTAAGAACGGAGCTCAGACACTCATCTTTTCCCTACTTGCTTTGCAGAATTACTTACATTTTTGAGAAACTAGCTAGTGCGTATTTTATCGTACAAGAAAAGGGAGTGCTCCTGATCTTAAGCAATGAGCAAGATCATCATTTAATCAAAAAATACCAAGACCTGTCAAGAACATGGTGATGTTCTCGACTAAATAGGAAATATTTATGATTCCCTAACCCAAGTTCACAACTAACTTTATTTTCAGAACTTTGTGTTTCAGACAGATGTTATTAATAGCCGTCCATTTCCAGCACAGGGTTTCCTGCAAGCAGTAGAATGTCTGTTCTCTAGACCATTTCAGTAGGTTTGGGGTGAATCAGGAACAGCTGGAGAAAATACTATTTCATTCCCCCCAGAAGGCTCCATATTCTACAGAATACAGAAAGTCAGCCAAAACTTAATCCTGATAAATGCAAAAAGACAAGGAAAGTGAAATCAGGCTTATAACTATCATCACTGCTAACCTTCTGTTAGCATGGGGTAAAAATGGATTTATATCGTTTAAGGAAGCTTCAAAGTTTTCCCCATGTGGACAGCAAGAAAATGGAGAGTAGGAAATGGTAAAGGAAGGTAAAGCCAGACTTACCAGCACGTTTAAACTGGTATGACAGAAACCTGATGAGTATGACTGGAATTTTTATATCACTGTCTACAACCTTTTTAGAAAAGGCGAAATAAATAAAAACAAATGTGAAGGAATAATGCTGTACATACTAAAAATATTGATATTTGTATCAATCTTGCACTATGGAATCCTAAGTGCACACGAAAGATCACTGTCATCTCAATGGTGGTTCTTTATTGGATCTTGATGCTTTGCTAAATCACACCAGAGAAGAAAACTACCTGCTTCTCGTGCGTATCTATATAATGAAAAATTGGGATGTTATAGGAGAACTGTGCTCTTACACAGGTACAATTTAAATTGTTTTCAAAACCAACCCGACTATTTCTGCAGTGCAAAACACGTTGTGCCTAAGATGTGTTAACTTCCTATTGGAGCTTCCCATGGAGGAAAAAAAAAAGAAAAGGCATTACGACTAAAAATTGGTGGTTGTCTCGGACTTGTGATGATGAAAGGATGAAACCCAGTATCATCCACTTTAGGTAAAGAACATGCCTAACTGATATTTCTCTGTATATATTTGTAGTGCTTCAAATACGTTAATATTTCTACTTTGAAGAAGATTATAGGAAAAAAAATGGAATGGATTTTTTTTTTCCAAAAACAGGAATAAGAACTGAGACTTCTTGAAGAAAACTTAGTTCCCACAGAAGTATTTCACAGTTAATAAAATACAAGCTAAAATGCCATCACCATGTGAAGACATTTAGAAAAGATCAATACAAAAATTAGACGTTATGAAATGCAAAAAGAAAATGTAACAGGAAAAAGGGAAAAATCCTTTTGAAAGGGTGTAACTACAACACTACTAACAACCTTAAAAATTCATGATTGCTTGAATAAATGACGATTAAAAAAAAAAAAGTTCCATACTTGTTTCTATTCTGCATTTGGAAGGGCCTATGGTGGCATACAATAGCAGGTAAGGATGATAAGGCAAATTATTCTTTGAAATTCGATGTTTACTCAAACAGAGACTGTGATTTTTATGCTTCTGGACCTCCGCAAGGTGTCATTTGGTTGCACAATAGCACTAGCAGATGCAGTTCTTACAGAAGCAGTGACATGATGCATAGAAATAGATGCTAAAGATTTACAGCAAGGAAAAAAGCACTCCCAAATTGAAAGCCCCATGATATCTCTTACTTAAGAATGTTTAATTCTAAATTGCTTTTTTTTTTCTAAATTATATACCTTAGCTAAAGAAAATGAACACACAGACACATACACACACACCATCCAATTGTCCTTTTATATTTTTATTTGGTGTTAAGTAACTCCACAAGAAAACAAAATCAGTTACTCTGGTGTACGTGAAATCAGAACAATACAACCACTTGAAGCAAAAAGTAGAAACAAATTTCAGCCCAGGAATGGAAAACTGATACTTCAGTGCTATGGATATGCAATGCGCTTCATACCACAGCGCGTTTCAGCGTTTGCCAACCTTTAATGCTCTTGTTGTTATGTGTGTCTCTATCCATACAGAAAAACTAAAAACCACACTTCAACTCTCACTGAAAGCTTTAGAGCTTTAGCCATTAAACTATGAAAACAAGTAAAGACAATTTGTTATTGCCCAAGCTCAATATACCATTTTATTTTCCCCCAAAGGTGCTGAAATATTACATGCCATAATGTAACTATAAGCAACACCTTCACTATTTTTGAGCCCTTTCTTGCCAAAGAAGCAGCTCTATCCAAAATAAACTGAGCTGAAGTTTGTGTTTGAAATATATCCATTTGGTCATTTCTTATTCTAGAATGAAGTTCTATTCCATTCTTCACTGTAGTGATTTGAAGAATTTGTGTGTAAAGTTTTTTTTATTATTATTATTTTTTTAAACTTTCATGTTTACAGTTAAATAGTTCTCAGTGCAGGTGCTAAACAACCTCTCAAGGAAGCTCCAGAAGAAAGTAAAATATATAAAAATCTATCCAAAGTCTGCAAATAAATTAAGAAAAAAACCTGTAAAGTGTCAAAAGATTTTTTGTATGAATACAAACCTTAAAACATAGTTTAACAGGAGGACCAAAATGAAGTCCCTGGGTAAGGACAAATCAGGCCAATTTTAAGTAAGGATGTCAATTAAAATGTTGCACAGAGAATGATGCTTTTTTTAAAAAAAAAAACCCATGTATTTCAATTCTTACACTATCAATTGAAAAACGGCAACAAAACCCAGTTATTATGAAAACCTTCCTAGCATAGAACATATTTCAAAGCCAGTTCAGCTCACGTTTCAAACAACTATAGTTCTCATGAGGTTTATTGCCTGTCAAAATGAACAGTTAAGCTTTTCAAGTCAGTATTGGACTTTCTGCACTTTCTGATGTTATAAACATGCTGCTATTGTATAGGTTAGTTACTCTGATGTTGTTCTTTAAACTATGAGTTGGTAAAAACTTAGAATGTTTAGTTTTGCAAATATTGCTCCTCCTGGCTTATACATTTTGCATAATGTGTTAAAAGCACAAGGAGTTGATAGTCTTGTACAGATGCAACTTGACAATGTATTGACTTTCTAAGTTAACAAAATAAAATTTAAAAAGCAAGTCACATAAAGCAACAATCACTACTGCAATCACACATGTATGTTGTAAGTCATCGCTTCCCCTCCCCCCCCCCGCCACACACATAACTTGCCCCACACATTCTCTCAGAAACACAAAATGAACTACGAGATTTACTAATTACAGCCACAACAGCAGCTAACTGCAGCAGCCACAGGATTTCTTTCAAGTGAAGCACTGACCCTTTGCGTATAAAACATCGAACACTCTGAGCACTTTAGATAGTTTCAGTCATTCAGGCTCAAATTCATATAGGATGCTTTTGCAGGTTACGTGAAGGCCATCATTTGCAACAAGACAACATTCTCATTACTTGTTACAAAACTCGCAACAATCCACACATCACCCCAGTGGTTTGTTATTTTTTGGTGCTCCTTCTTTTTAAACTTCTGCCCTATATCGGCACGTTGCTAAAAAGGACAAAAAAAGGGGGGGAGGGGGGAGGAAGCCCACATTGCCTCCATACCTACAGAAAAAAAATCCTTGGCTTCTCCAGTTAGCAAAAATACAAACCATGGTATCCTCAGTGTTGGTTTGCAGAAAGGGGGAAGCGGGAATCATAGGATAGAAAACACAGTTTCTGTAAGTCTCTAAAGCACAACCCTGTTGTTCCTACTTCAAAGTTATGAGATTTACTGAATGAAGACTGGACAAGTCATTCATGCTTTTCTCCTGCATTCAGAAAGGCACTGATAGATTACAGTGTTAAGTATTTATCTCCCAGTTCTTAACGAACAAAGCCTAATGTGCCAAAAGCTAAAGTCTCTGAATAGCAGAAGTAGTTGTAGACACTGCGATGCTAAGAAGATAGTAATAGTGGTAGGACTACAGTTACGAATGAAAATAACTGCAATTAAGATGCAAAAAAGCAGTGATACTACTAAGACAAGCACATGCACATCCATTCTTGATTTGACAACACAATCTAGTCTAGTTCAAATAGCCAAGAATTTAACAGTTTGGGGGGGGGAAAAAAAATCTTCAACAGGACAGCTGTGTCCTCATCTATAAAATAAGCAAGAAGAGAAAGATAAATACACATCTGAATCCATTAACTGAAGAGGAAACCGAAGTTGTTGTTTTAGAGCTACAGACCCTCAAGAAGGATAGTTTTCCATCTCATGTTACTTTTAACTCATCTGTTCTACTCTGCAGTTCTTATAGTTGAGTTCGAGAAAAAAGCTCCTCCTCACAAGGATCAGCCCATTCACTTCCACCTTCTGAAGCTGTGTCTTCAGAGCTGGAGCTATCACTGGAGTAGATGTTCTTCCTGAAGCCATTTGGTTTTGCCTCAGAATTTATATCATCTGCACATCTCGCTTCATAAACAGAAGAAACCTGAGGATTTAAACTGACAGTGTTGATTGGGAACAACAACGAGAACCCCACGTGCTTGTTCGCTCCTAGGCTGTTACGTGTTACAGGGTTGTCGTAGGGGTTCACGTCCCAATTACAGAACAGCAGGGAACAACAACAAAGAGTCTTGTCATCAACATAAAGGTTAAAAATGTATCAGTAACTGTGCGTGGACATGAACGTTTTCCCTTTGGAAAGCAAACAAACCAAACAAACCACCCTGTGCATCAGCTCTCTGCTTGACAGGAGACCTGAGCACTCTTCACTCCTTTGGGTAGTGGCCCCTCCTGCCTTGCACAGTGCACCAGCCCACCCTACACTTAGTAAAGCAGAGACTGAGGGGGGAACATCACATTTTTAACATGCTTTTGCAAGCAAAAAAATGAATATTCCCAAAGGCAACTGAATTTGCATAAGTACCAGAAGTACAAACCTGAGTGCTGTGAGAAGTTTTCAGAAAAATCTCAAAGGCAAGAAAGATATTTTTAAGAATGATGAAAGAAAGGCTTTGAAGGATTTTTCTTGGGGATTTTAATTGGTGGCATTTTTTTTTTTTTTTTAAGACTGAAAATTGATGTAAGGAAAGATGTGGTGGTGCAGCCTTATAAAACAAACAAAAACTCCTCCCCCAAACCAGCAACAAACTTACCATATTAAAATCTAAAAGATGTTCATCACCACTGGGTGTTTCCTTTACATCTGCAAATTCTCCTACACCATTCTCTCCCTTGGCATTTGTATAGCACTCTTATAGTGTTTTTTGTTCATTTCAAAGGAGGAAGAAAAAAAAAAAAGAATTGCAAAAAATTATTTTTTACATGAAGGAAAAAAAAAAAAAAACAGACCAAAAAAAAAAAAACCCTGGAGAAAACATCTTAAAATTCACATTCTAAGCTATGTGAATCTCTAATGAACACAAAGTTTAAACTCAATATCCTTAAAAAGCTAAGCATAATATCTTAGTAAAACATCAACAAAACTGAGCAAACAATAAGCTACTTAATAAAAACTTCTAAATTAATGAGGTTGAAAGAGCAAGATTTACCTATTTTTATTAGAAGCAACTCAGGTCAATTTCTTAATTCTGATACCACATGCTGGTTTAGATCGTTCTTGTTCCTATACCTACCCAAAATCCACTGCAACAATAGCCTGATGCTGACCCAAGTGCAGAGCAAAATAACATGAACTGCTGTGGTTTCCATTTCTACCAGAATAAACATTGAATATAAAGTAATAATATCACATCCCTACATAGATGATCACACCTATCAGTATCCCTAAAGAAAAAATATCTGTAAAGAAAACGGGATGCAGTTAGAAATTTGTGGAAGAATAACGTCAGCTCTGAGGAACAAGCTCTGCTTTTGTTCAGTGTCGTCTAAATGAAATTCTGGAGCCATTCAACCTAGCTGAGGCTCTGTATAAAGTAAGTGCTGGACTTGACGCTGTTCTGTACTGTCTATTCTGTGCCCTCTCCAGACCTGGTGACAGGGGAACCACTGGGATGGATATTTGAGCTCACCAGCAGATGTCAGCAAAAAGATCCCGCAGCTCACTCGCAGCAATGAAAGGATTATTGTGGGGAACACACGGGTCCAAGATGGCCCAAGTCAGTGTGCTTGCTATGACACCAGTAGCACTGCTGCATTATCGCTGAGCAGGTGGAGGGAGGAAGGCCGCTTTACCTTTTTTAGGGACACTAAATATTTTTGTAATAAGTAAATAAATGATTTTGTAAGGCCTGAGCACTTTTCTGCAGAAGCCTAAGCGACCTGTCCCAGCAGCACAGGACAGGTCAAAATCCCGTAGACAGCAATTTCTCCCTTTCACAGTGCAAACGTATTGCTGCTGTAACTTTCCAGAAGTAAGCATGTTCTTGAAAGTAACCTAAAACTGCCCTAAGGAGAGCATGGATATTTAGGCACCAGGAACACAGTTCATTTGTTTGCTATTTAAGATGCACTGGAAAACAAAAATTCTTAATTATTTGCTAATCCACTTCCAGGTTATTAGGGAAGGAGGTTTCTATCTGAGCAGAGACTGAGAAGCTCCTGGGTGTCACCAGGCAGAAAGGGCCCAGAGGCAGGACCCCCTTCCAGCCTGCCAGGAGCTCCCCTGCCCGTAGTCACCTGCGCCTTGTTCATGCAAACCCAGGAAAGAAAGGCCATTTCTGCACCCTTACAAAATTAGCTACCTACTAATCATTACTCACATTGAGAAATACTCCAAAACTTAATAAAATACATCCAGAATCATAAATTCATACTCTCTGTCTAAAGCAAAGCTCTGGTATAAGCAAATTTGCATAAACAGACTATTGTAAAAGCATTTTAAATTAAAAACTGTTAGAAGCATGCTAGAGATTTATTCCAAATGTAATTTAACCATCCCTGTTCCCTCTTGGATAAAAAAAAAATTCTTACAAAAGTTTACTGTTTTCAAATAAGATGGTTAATTCTAATCCACCTCTGGCAATTCGAATCGGTAACAAAACTGCTTCGTTCTAATGGAAGTGCAAGAGCAAGTGAGTTGGCCCATGCAGAGCTTCTTACCTTCACATTGGGATGCGGGGAAGAGGGGAGAATAGAGTGCCTTTTCCCACCAGCTTTGTTTTTCCTGGCTGCCACTCATTCTCTGTAGATCAGTATTCAATATAGGAAACTGTTTAGACAATAATCACACTTCATTATACCATAAATAATATACTTACATGTTAAGGAGATGATGCAACAAATTTGCTAGGTCCTAGCAGCCACACTACTCATTTTTTGAGAAAGGATTGACAAACTACAGTAGAACATTCATTATTTGAACTATTGCAGACAGTATGAACCCTACTCAGAGCTCACGCTTTCTCAACATCATATAGTAAAATGCAGCCTAAAGATGAATTCCAGCACTTTATAATCTGTGCAATCTTAGATTAAACTTTACTTCATAATCTGAGTAATTTAATCTTGTTTTAACAAGAGAAAACAGAAAGCTCCCCAGGTGAGTAAAAATATAACGAAAGAACAAAGCTGATTTAAATAAACTGCTGAATGCAAAACAGAAAAAAAAGTCATTATCAAAAGACAATAAATTTTAGTGTTTAAATTTGGGAAGAGTACCTTGGAAACAGTAACATTAATTCAATAACATAATAAAAATCTAGAACAATAATGTATCAATGCGAGAGAATGTTTATAAAATGATTAAGAATTTATCTTTATGCTAAATATAATCTCAATCCACTTTCTAGAAATGCCTCAGTACTTTCACCTTTTAATGTGAATTTAAGTTTGCCACATCCTTCTTCTTGTAAAATTAATATTGAAAGCTTGTCAGAACAGACACATGGCCAGCTTTATGACTGTATATGTGACAATCCCACTGATCTTCAAAATATGATGCTGTCTTATAAATTGTCGTACCTGGAATGATTCATATACAAACTATAGTGCAAATAGCTGTTATAAAATATTAACAAATATATTTCAATATTGAGTTTGTATCCACCTTTCTCCTCCACAGATTTGAACACTATAAAAAACTGAATATTAAGAAAACTTCCTTTTTCCTTCATCTTTAAGCTAATGTAGAACTAATGAACCTACCAAACCTATACTTACAAATGTTTACTATTTAATAAGCAGTAGTCTCATTCAAATCAAATGAGCAATGAGTGCTGCATTCAGAAGAATCTGCCATATTCAGTCCCGATGTAATTCTGATACAATGATCATTGAAATTATCCATGTTGATTTCCCATGAAAGCATTCATCCAACACCAAGGGACAATCCTTCCAAACTGCCCTCTAAAAACCCAAATGTCAACTCCAGAAAAGGTATTTCTTAGAAAATGAAACCATGATAAAAATGAAAAAGGATCTTGCAAGAGGCCTTGGCACTGGCATTAAATCTGGGCATTTTCATACAAATTCAGTCATGGGAGATGGGCCCAGCGGCTGGCCACGCACAGCGGCACCTGCACCCCACCGACGCTCGGCTTTGGTAACTGTGAGGCTTCTCCCGTTGCTGCCGTCGCAGCACTGGAGCCGCTCGGCTCCCTGCACCGGGAGCGTCGCCTCAGCAGCAGCGCGGCCTGGTCACCCACCTCGTCTTGGGCCTGACTCCGCGTCGAGCCCTGCTGGGCCCGCCCCGGCTCCCAGGGAGCAGCCAAGGCTCTGGCTAAGCTGGGCTCAAGAGCCGGCCTGTGAGGCAAGGCGACGCAGCCCATCTGTGACCCGGGCTAGCATAACACATCCTGGCTACACTCATGCTTTGCACCGAGAGCAGTCCGGTTCTGTGGACTGGCCACTCACAGGCAGCAGCTCTCTGGGTTATTTTCATCCAAAAGCAATTCAGTTGTATACCCCAAAACTGTCCATAATGAGAGCTGAAGTTCAATGAATGGGCAAATCGAGAGATTTGCCTCAAAACTGCACTTTTCATACAAACTAAATGGCTAATGGAAACACCTCTCAAGAGCTTTTACACAAAGTCTACACAAAGGAGTGTGTAGCAGTTTCAATTCACTTTTAAGATGAAGGTGGATAGGGAGGAATACGCATGAGGAAACTGAAGTCCATTTTATACATTTATTGAATAAAAAACATTTTTTCCTAGAGTTGCTTAGATATTTGCTACAATTGCAGCCTGTCATTATGAAGCAAATCTGTGAATTGAAGAAGTTCCATAGCAAATATGGAATAGTAGTTCTTCCCCTTTTAAAACAGCATCATCAATTTACACTTTCCCTTCTCACACACACTCCAACAGACCCCCAGTATTTTAGGAGAAGTTTTATTACATTTTTTATCTACCTAAGCTGTAATTCTCGATTGCACTAGTATTAAAAATTGCAAGATTAGGTCTTTCCTGTCTAAAACTATCTTCCTCTTAAGAACAGTTCAAAGATAAGACAAAACCCACTGCTGTAGCAATTTCGTGCCCAGTCTTGTTGTACATCAGAAAGACCACTCAAAGTTTCCTTCCTTGGGTTTTACAGCTAGATGTATGATAATCAAAGCTCTTTTTATGTATCCTCAGTTGGGGGCTCTGAATTACCTAATTACCTGAGAATCGCAGTATCCACATACACTAAAACCACTACATTTTCTAGTTATGCACGATTCAACAACCTCAAATTTTTGGTTGACTTCAGTCACAATTCTTTAGCAATTTTTCAGTAGATTAGGGCTAGAACTGTGCAGTTATATGCAGAAACTAAAACTTCAATTCTTCTTTTTTTCTCCACCTGTATTACTGTTCCTGCCCCTCAATCATCTCTCCATATCTCCTGCTAAAGCCAGAGACAGAAAATCATTTTACATTTGGCAACGTGCGTGTATAAATTTGAAAGCGCAATATACAGAAGAGAGCAACCAGTCTTTACAAGCATCAGTACAAATACTTTTTAAAGGCACAAAAGCAAACAATTGCTTCTTCAACTAAAAACCCTACTGTAGCCTCAGAAATCCTATTTTGGTGAGAGCGCTGCGCAATCTGGCTGAAACCAAGGGGCTAACAGGAAAGGCTCATGCTTTTTGTAATGGTAACCATCTATGGCAACGACCGTTTTAACAGCACATCTGGCATCAAGCAATTGAGGGTTAGGGATGCAGGTGAATGAACAGAAGGAAAAGCAGGCAGGAAACGGAAAGACTGTTTCCTTCAACACAGTGCCATTTCCTGTAACAGATGAGGTTTTTCCTCACTTCTCCCACTCACATATATATTTGAAGACAGCCAAACTGTTCTACACAGTTCTATCATATTGCTGCTTTGTTTGCATGACTGCTACAGAGAGCAATACATAATTCATTAGCTGATTAAGCTATAGTGCAAGTGCATAGCATAATATCCAACTAGACTGATCTGGGGAAAGGAAAAGCTGTTCAGCTACAGTTACCACTTCCACCCGCAGAGCTGGGCCTGGCAGGAGGTACTGCCTAGGAGGAGCATTTTCATCTTCTGCTGGTTCTGCTTGCAATGAACGCTCCACACTCACTGCACTGGGGCACGTTCCCAACTCAACGTCTTCCAGCTTCGACCAACTGGCATCCTAGAGAGCATGTCTGAGTGGTACCAGTGGCTTACTGGCGTATGCAAGGCCTAGCTACAATCTCTGAATGATGCGACACTAAGCTAACTCGCAGAAACATCTTTGACCAGGACATTCAGGCAGATTAGAGAACTGCAAGCGAAGTCTAAAGGTACAAGAGCAGAGTTCCGAAAAAAGATCCATCGTACTATGTTCCATCCATAAATTGGGCACCGCCACAGTGTCACTTCCATAATTCTAGATTTGAATGTGTAGATTGAAAAGCTAGGAGCAAAAGGCAGGAGGAAGGGGTTAAGTTACTTTCTCCTGTATTTGGTTATGAATGCATATAAAAGTATTAAAAGAAAAGGTCATCTGGAAAACATGTATTGATTGTCTCTTGTAAAATATTTTTTCCTCAAATAAGAGTTTGCTTGCTCATACAAATAATCCACTAAGATTTATCATATTATTTTCTGCAAGGAAGAAAAATTTAGATAGAAAGTTTTATTTATATGCACCCAAAGAAATTTGTTCAAGAGACCATTTAAGACTATGAAATAGATTCCCCCCTCCTTCCCAAATAATTGTTTTGGGATTTGCTTATCAACTTAAATCTTATTTTATCCACACTCTACACGAGCAGAAATATACATTTTTTTTCTGTTCTCGTACAGAAAAGTACGCGTGCTTTTCTGAAAAGTTCTGAATGCTTCCTTTTCTATGAAGCATTAATATTTTCTGCTGTTCTCCTTGTTTTCAAAGCAAAATTTTCCCTACAGTTGCATACAAATCTTCCCAGCAAGAACTGCAAGTCCATATGGCAGACTTTTTTTTTTTTTTTTTTTTTTTTCCAATAAGAATTTTTAGCTAGAATAGTTATGTTGGACAGAACTGTATTCCTCAAGCAAAACTTAAGCAAAGCATCACGCTACAGTCCCTCTGCCCACTCACACCTGCCTTTCTGTCAATCTTCCCCACTCTTCCAGCTTCCCTTTTTTATTCTGTGTACAGAACAAAAGATTTTCTCAGAGCTAGGATTACAATTTTTAAGACCATCTGGCCCAAGGAGTTAAAAAAAAAAATAAGACCAGCTACCCTGTTCTACTCTTCAATGACACCTTAAAGCTTCAGGGCTTCTTAAAAAAGAAAGATTTGCTAATTTTTTGGCCCATCATCACTTTGCCAGGTTCCTAGACTATACAAGTTAAAGACAGAAGGAACTGAAAAATCTATTTCATACAACCTTAAACAGATACTAAAAACCCTTCTCTCCTATCTCAACAGATTATTTTTTCTGTAGTGCCAACACTCTACAAAGCTGCTTCCTCCATTTGCAGGTGGAAGAAACAACACAAAGGATCTTTCTAAACCAAAGAGCAAGACTGCAACCAAGATGGGACAGAATACACTTGGTTTTTGTTTCTATTATGCTTTGCCCCTTCTGAGCTTTATTTATATTTTTTTGTAGCTAGGGGCTGTAATTTAAAAAAAAAAAGTAAAAAAAGTAATTCTAACACTGCTAAAAGTAATTCTAACAGTGTTTGGTGCCACATAAAATCTCCTGCCAAATATCTAACTACAAATTATCTCAAATTCTTTTTAAAAG